CCGGATTGCAAGAGGGTGCAGGGCAGGCCAAGGGACCCCACTGGTGCATGATCAGAGCTGGGGAGGGATGCGGGGGGTTGGCCAGCCTGGGAGGGACTGTGGAAGGGCTCCAGGGTGTGTATGACCTGTCTCACTCAGTCTCAATCAGCGGGACCCCAGTAGTTAGCTAACTTAGTGGTTGGAGCATCTGCCCCTGGTGGTCAGTGCATGTCATAGTGAGCAGTTTAGCAGCCTTAGCATATCATTAGCATAATATGCTTTGATTGGTTGAACAGCCAACCATACACTTAGCATATTAGGCTTTAATTATATTAGATAATAATTCGCATTTTGTTTCCAAACTACGATGCAAAACTTTAGGAAGCTAGGCTGTATCACTTGATTTTTCTCACAATCCATGGAAGGGTGATCAAAAGTACACCCGTCACCATTCAGGAGATGACTGCTATGAGCATCTGGATCTGATGAACCAAAATCTTATTCATATATTATAACTCTATTATTAAAACCGTTGAAACCTTAGACATCAAACATCACTTGGGTAATGTCCTAAAAAAAGGCCATCAGGCCAAAGTCAAGTCAGGAAGTCTGTAGAAATGGAGGTGAAAGACAAACACCGGGCATCCATGCCCAGTAGTCCCCCACATTGTGCGTGGAAAACTGAGCTAATCCCTACCTACAGAAATCATTATACAGATAGTGGATTACAGGGTAGTGTTTCCCTCTGATATTGTTTCTCCCCCAACCGCCTTCTTCTCTTTCTAAAATTCAAATTAATTCTTTAAAAAGTGACTATCCAGGATGCAGGAAACGATTACAAGGGGAATAAGAAAAATACTTCACATACTATTTTTAAAAATTTTGCCAGGTATCTCCCATTCACCTTTCTTCCCCTTTCCCAACCCCTTAGGTCTTCACCACCCTATTGCCCATGCCCATGGGTTATGCATATCTTACTAATAAAAGCCTAGGTGGTCCTCACGCCATGTTGCCCTCATCCTGTCACAAGATGGTTGCGTGCACAGTAGATGTGCACAGGTGGATGGGGATGGGCTTGACGCTGAGTGCATGAGGGCCCCCCAGCCTTTACCTGGGGTATTAACATGACAGAAAACCTCTCTAGTCACTGCCTGGTTCCCTACCCCAAGCTTCTCCCCACACAAGAACAGTTATTTCATTTCCTGACAAGAGCAGTGACCTCACTTTCTGACAATGGAGCCCAACAGAACATGGAACCTTGGTAGCTAGGCAGCCACATTCTGAAACAGCCCCTGCCCAGCTCACTTGATAGAGACATTCCCACCAAGGCATGCTCTGCTGGTTGCCACAGTCCTGCCGCAGTGATAGGCAAAGAGTCAGCCATGACAGCTTCTTCTACTGCTGCTGCTACTGGCTCCGCACTCAGTCCTGAAGCCTCTGGCCCTTTTCATGAAGGATCACAGAGGTAACCCAGGGAGGCCCAGGGTGGTTTTCTTAGAGACAAGCTACCTCTCTCATCCCTCTCAACAGCCCCATGTCCCCTGAGGTGCTAGCCCCGTGGAGCTAAGGAACTCGGGGACTTGGGGGGAGTCCTGCAGCCCCAAAGGCCACTGGCTTTGACCCTTTGTCCCTGTGGGCAGGGCACCATCATAGACTCTGACAGGAGGGAGGAGGGAGCTGGATACCTGCACCTAGGACTTGACAAATAGTGATATTAAAATATTTCTTCTAATTAATTCCCTTTCAATGTGTACAAATTTGTGCACTGGGCTACTAGTACTATATAATAAAAGGGTAATATGCAAATTGTCCATCACTCCAACACAAAGATGGATGGCTGCCCCCATGTGGACACAAGATGGCCGCCATAAGATGGCCAGCAGGGAAGGGAAGTTAGGGGTGACCAGGCCTATAGGGGAGGGCAGTTAGGAGGTGGCCAGGTTGGCAGGGGAAGGCAGTTTTGGGGGACTAGGCCAGCAGGGGAGGACAGTTGAAGGGGACTCACGCCTGCAGGGGAGGGCAGTTGGGAGGAACAAGGCCTGTAGGGAGGAGTGTTGGGGAGGACTAGGCCTGCAGGGGATGGCAGTTGTGGGTGATCAGGCCAGCAGGCCAGGGCAGTTGGGAGGGACCAGGCTAGCAGGGGAGGACAGTTAAGGATAACCAGGCCTGTAGGGGAGGGATGTTGCAGGGGACTAGGCCTGCAGGGGAGGGCAGTTATGGGTGATCAGGCCATCAGCTGAGGGCAGTTGGAGAGAACCAGGCCTGCAGGGGTGGCAGTTGGGGTGGAGGGGAGACCAGGCCAGTAGGAGAGAGCAGTTAGAGGCTACCAGGCCAGCAAGGGAGGACAGTTATGGGTGACCAGACTGGCAGGAAAGGGCAGTTAGGGGCAACTGGGCCTGCAGGGGAGGGCAGTTGTGGGCTAGCAGGCTAGCAGGGAAGGGCATTTGGAGGGAACCAGGCCAGCAGGGGATAGCAGTTAGGGGCTACTAGGCCAACAAGGGAGGGCAGTTAGGGAAAGCCGAGCCTGCAGGGGAGGGCAGTTAGGGGAAGCCGAGCCTGCAGGGAGGGCAGTTGGGAGCGACCAAGCCTGCAAAGGAGGGCTGTATGGGGGGACAAGGCCTGCAGGGAAGGGCAGTTGGGGGGGACCAGGCCTTCAGGGGATGGAAGTTAGGGACAACCAGGCTGGCAAAGGAGGGCAGTTAAGGGTGACTAGGCCTGTAGGGGAGGGCAGTTAGGGGTGACCAGGCGGGCCGTCAGGAGAGGACAGTTAGGGGCAACTAGGCCTGGAGGGGAAGGCAGTTGGGGAGAACCAAGCCTGCAGGGGTGGGCAGTTGGTTGGGGGACAATGCCTGCAGGAGAGGGCAGTTAGGGGTGACCAGGCTGGCAGGGGAGGGCATTTAGGGGCAATCGGGCTGGCAAGGGAGCAGTTAGACATCAATCAGGCTGGCAGGGGAGTGGTTAGGGGGTGATCAGGCTGGCAGGCAGAACCAGTTAGGGGCAATCAGGCAGGTAGGCAGGCGAGCAGTTGGGAGCCAGCAGTCCTCGATTGTGAGAGGGATGTCCCAGATTGGAGATGTACAAGCTGGGCTGAGGGACACCCCCTCACCCCTCCATGCACAAATGTCATGCACTGGGCCTCTAGTAAGTATGTAAGTTCATTGATTTATCTCTTTTTATCTACCCAATTCCACATTGAGGTCAGTCAGTCTATTCCATGCCTTCCTGCTTCAGGTCTTATTTTGTTGGTCAATTTATTTTATTCATTAGATTCCACAAATAAGTGAGTTTATGTGATATTTGTCTTTCTCAGTTTGACTTATTTCACTGAGCATATTTTCCGGGTCTATCCAGGTTGTCCCAAAGGGAAAGAGATCTGTTGTGTTTTTTTTTGTTTGTTTGTTTTTTATAGCTGCATAGTATTGCATTTTGTAAATGTCCCACTGTTTGTTTGTTTGTTTTTTTATACATTCATTTGCTGATGAGCACTTGGGCTGTTTCCAAATCTTAGGTATTGTAAATAACACTATGAACATAAGGATGCATATTATTCTAATTGGTGTTCTGGAGTTTTCAGGCTATATTCTCAAAAGTGGGAACACTGGGTCAAGCAGAATACATACTATTTTTTAAAAAATCAAGTCTCTATTTTTAAAATTTTATTTTTTAATATTTTTATTGATTTTAGAAAGGGAGGATAGTTAGAAACATTGATCAGCTGCCTCCTGCATGACCCCTGCTGAGGATTGAGCCCACATCCTAGGTATATTCCCTATCAGGGAATTGAATCAGTGACCTCTTGGTTCATGGGTTAATACTCAACCACTGAGCTACACTGGCCAGGTGCTTTACATACTATTTTTAAAGTTATCTTTGATCTTTCTATTCATTACTTTACTGTAAGATGTGGTGGAAGATAACCGTATAGTTGATGAGGTAAAGTATCCTTATGATTGCTGACAGAAAGGTAGGGGAAATATATAAAGATGTAAGAGACACAATTTCAAGTCATAATTTATACTCTAATTTAGACATGCTTGTAAAATAATTCTTAAGAAAACGGGTAATTTAACACTAGATATTTAATAAATCATTTTATAAGGTGTGATATGAGTATATGGTGCTTATGTTAAATTTAGATTACTTGTTATGTGTGAGATTTGTTTCAAAATAATCAGAGGTGGATTAGAACATTGATGAAATAAGATTGCTTATATATAGATAATTTTGGAAGTTGGTGATAAGTAAATGCGGGATTATTCTTCTTCTGTACTTGTCTGAAAATTTATAGTAAAAATGTAATAGAAATTATTTTGACTTTAAATACATTTTTTTCAGTTTTTTAATAGGACATGTGATTTATCTTTTTTAAAATTTACTGTTGAAAGCAGTAGATATATCTCCCCCCCCCCCAGACCTCTCCCTAGCTGCTCCCACTCCCCAGCACATACCTCACCCGCTACCGTCTGTGTCCATTGTTTATGCTTATACGCATGCATAGAAGTCCTTTGGTTGACCTCTAACCCCTCCATTCTCCCTCCCCTGCCTTCCCTCTGAGATTTGATAGTCTGTTCGTTGTTTTTGTAATAAATACATATTCTTATCACTGAAAATCCTATCTACTATAATTCATCTGTGGTGATTTCTGTGCAAAAGCTGGGAAGTTGACTCTAAATCCTAGCAAAACTAGGTTCAGGGCCTCTGTGATTATTTGCCTTTAAAAAATTAGCTACAAATGATATAAAGATAAAATTACTTCCTTTTGTAAGAAATATGTAAGTTCCTAACATATTCTACCTTTTATATAAAATTTGGTTATATATACTTTGACCCAATTTAAAATTAGAGTAATGTACATATAATACCTCAAAATTTAACATTAGTACATATTCTAATAGAACAGAAATGTGACCAAAGAGTAGGTTTCTGAGAGTTTATTTCAGACCAGAAATAATATGTGTTGGAACTAGAACAGGTTTGATACAGTAAGTCATTTCTAACTACACAGAAAAGATGCAGAATGTAGTTTACTTTTTGTTTATTAATTTATTTTGCAGGAATCATTGATTTTCCGAATATGTGTTGTTTGGAGGTACAATGCATGCATAGCCTTTTCAAATGCCTTTGTACAATTTCACTTCAAAATAATTTGATTCACAGCATACACAGAAATCTAAGAGACAAGGTATTTACAAGATTTAATAAGTTCTTGCTGTTTTAATAAAGAAACGAATAAATTCTTTAACAGTAGGGAAACATGGACATTGGGTATCATTATTAAGAATTCAGAATTGTTCAGTCGCAAAGTAACTTTTCATGGCTTAAAAAATTATAATTGAGCCATTCTATTAATTTCTGAATGCTCATGCCATGCAAAATCTAGTTTTAAATATCTGGGGTTGCATATGATATAGGAAAAAAATGCATTTCTGGTGAATGTGAAAACGTCATCAGAATTAAATTTTATAGTAAGAAAACATTGTTAATTCTCTCAGAAAGATTCAGTAGTGGTGCAACACAGACAGTGCCTAATTTAATGATTTTTTTAAAGTAACATTTCAGTAATCATTTTTCCTTCTTTACAGATATACAGACACACACTGTAACATGAACTCATTCAAAGTCTGAACAATGACTACAGTATTAAAATAAATCAGTTTTAACTATAAAGGGACATCTTCACATTCCAGGATACACTGTTGATATTTTCAAAGAACAATTTTCCTATACCTTATATTCTTTTTGTTTATAGCATCAGACATTACAATTACCTCTTAAAATACTATATAAAACTTGAGTTGCCATAGAAAGCTGGCAATGAACCTTAGATAATTGGGACAAAGCAATGACAAAATTTTAGGAAGTAATTACTAAAATTGAGACCAGCTCTTTAAAAATTATTAAACTTCTCATCACACATCCCATTTCTTTCAGGGAAATAAACAAATTAGCAACACTTCCCCCACCATCGTTAGTCTGCTCTAAAAACTACTTTTACCACACATTTCTTTGTTTCTTTAAAACCCTGCATCTACCCTCTCCCAAACAAGGTCATTATCAATTTGAAACATTTTTACAGTGCTCATTAGAAAATTTATGGCTCCTCTATAAACTTTTCAGACCTACTCCAAAATTTAGGGGGCCGTGCACTTTAACAAAATGGTAAATGTGCTCTCAGAAAACCCATTTTAAAACAGTGAAATACATATTTGAAATGTGTCTGGCCCTGGCTGGCGTTACATGGTGGTTAGAGCGTCAGCTTGTCCACCAAAGGGTCGCGGGCTTGATTCCCAGTCAAGGTCACATACCTGGTTCACTCTGCTCCAAGAGGGTGTCTGCAACCATTCTATGTATATGTATCTGTCACATGAATGGTTCTCTTTCTCTCTCTCTCTCTCTGTCCCTCCGTCCCTCCCTTTCACTCTCTCTGAAAAAATCAATGGGAAAAATATCCTCAGATGAGGATTAACAAAAAACAAACAAAAAACAAACAAGTGTCGTTAGGTCTGCGTTAAGAAAAAAAGTTTTTAATAGAAACAAGAAGTGTACCAATTGATCTAAGGAGCACAGGCACCTCTCAGCAGGCAGGCAACCAACCATCCAATTTGTATCCTACCATTTATATGCCAATTGTCTGTATATGTCAATCTAACTAGAAGATCCTTTACTTTGAAAGTTGACTGAATTCTTGTTCAAACTGGTCACAGACAAGAAGTAATGGATATATGGGACACAGTTAAATGTATCAGATTTATCAGTGTCAAATGATTTTGCTTATTTAAAAAAACGGAATACAGCCTATGTTGGTGTATGAAACTTGTACACAATCAGAAATGAACACATACAAAAAAAACACACACTTCCTTCAAATCAGTCTGATGTGTCATACCCCACCCTATACCTATCAAATAGAGTGGTTTCTCAATTTCCCTGGCAGGTGAAAACAATGGTTGTCTAGATATATCACCTAACGACTGGAACCATGCATCAACTGTATGACAGCAGCTTAGTAATCTGGATGTATGTTCATGCAATAGTTTTAAAGTCATCTACGTGGTTTTAATAAAGCATCAAACTGTTTTCATAACATGCTACAGGTACTTTCATTCTCAACTGTCAACTGCCAAGTTAGTTGCTGCCGCTTGAGCATATCACTAAGAATACTGGTAAACCTTTAGCGAGAATACCAACCAGTATATGGATTTCCCCCTAAACTGTTACTAAATACCAAGTGGGGTCCACCGTCACTAAAGAGATAATGAAACCATACAAAAGCAAAGATGGAATGTTATAGGATAGGACTGTTATTGGAGACTGACAGATACGTGTTACAAAAGCCTTTAAAGGATGATGTTTTCAGGTCACTGCTTTTAAGTCCATCTACTTTCTCACCATTGTTTTCACAGTTTTGCCACAGTTGTTGTATGAGAGATGTTCTATCAGTCTAATTACATAGCCACACTTTGTAGAGTGTGAAAGTATGATTTTGATGGAAAACTATGATGAATTGTTAATGCCTTTGGTTTCATTATGCTATTAAATGCAGCTTATTTTTCTAGGTCTGCCAGAGATTACTGCCAAATTAGAATGCAATGACAGCTTAAAGTGTGTGCAAGGGGTGTGGGGGAGGGAAGGTGGATATTTCTAAATTTATAACCTCAGGAAAAATCCCTAAGAATTAGAAAAACTTTCAATTTTATTGCTGTTTATATTTACCCAAATAAGGGGAAGATTCCAAAATCCAATTCTCAATGATGATAGAATCATTAATTGAATGTCTTCTTAAATTTTTTTCCAGTGGTGCATTCTAGGGAATTACATCTCTTGAGTTGTGCATACCCTAAAGTTCTAGTTTCATAAATAAGGAGTGCTTCAGTATCACTTGAACTACTTGGAACTCAGTGTTATTTCTGAATATAGTATGTTCAATTTGAAACATACTTCAAAGTCCTTTTTATTAACCTTATTCTTAATCTTATTTTTGACTAGCCTTCTCTTCCTCCCCAACTTTATGATATTGGCCCACTGTACTTTCACTCTCTGGTTTATGAATGTATGTGCAAATAAATATTTATTGAACTAATATTAATTTTTTTTCAGCTAAGTTAGGATTATGGCACAAAGTATTATCTGTGCTGTAAACATCATGAATCCCTCACAAAACTGAAAGGAGGGGACAAAAAGGCCCTATGCACTGCAAATGTATCTTGTAGAACCACAGGTGAAATCAAGGTTTCCAAATGGATTTTGGAATGGATTTACAATTGGCATACATTCATTGTGCTACTGACAGAGCACAGTTTTACGAGAAGGTCATTCATAAAATTGTACTTTGTAAGGACTCATTTTTTTATTTTTAAAACCAATGACCTAATAAAAGCATGCAGTAACTTCAAAAATATATCTATTATGTGGCGTAATTAGGTCTTGGTTACCAGTGTTGATATAGCTTGATGAATCATTGTACGAGCAATGATTATACTTTTGACAAAGGGCACAACATGCCTAATTCCTGACTACTGCAAATCACATTTTAAAACATCTTGTGTGTTGGAAATTACCCCTGAAAAAAGCAGCAGATACAAATACCCTAATATTTTGCCCCCCGCCCATCATATTCTAAGTGCTTCTTCCTATCCTCTTCAGTAGGAAGCAATGGGAAGGGCTCTAGGCTTTTCAGAGAGCTGTGACCAGATAAGTCTGCTATGGGGATTCACAGTTTGTCTGCATAAACTGTAACATGTCACACGATAAAGTTCTAGTTTATAAAATAAGGGTCACTCAGCAGTAACTCAACAATTGAATTCCACAGAAGAGCTCTTGACTTCTGTGTACATTCTTTCAAGAGAGAATCCTTTCCCAGTTTCAAGTATCCCTTTCTGTCTCTCACTCTGTAATGAGTTGAGACAGGGAAAAAACCTTCCCCATTTCTCCTGTAGTGAGTACAGGCAGCTCCAGTGCCATTCCTCCTCCCCCTACGGAATCTGAAATAAAAAGGCTGGACAGATGAAGATCCCGTTTCCTTTTCTTCTAATGGACACTCAGCTTCACTGTCAACCTGGTGCAGACTCTTCTCAATTCAGGTGTACCGGGGCATCTCACACTGCTCACAGCGATTTAGTGCTGGGTGGTTCAGAAACGTGCAGCTGTCACAATTCCATGGGGCCCCTTCATAGTCTTCATCTCGGGGCTGTGTCTGAGAATTGTTCTTGGGGCCAGGTAGATGCTCTGAGGGAAGTTAGAATGGAAAGAGAAAAAAGAGATTGATTTTCCCCAAAACAAATTAAAAACTACCAAAAAACGAACAAAAATAAGAAGTCTAGTATAGATTACCTTCAAAGTTCATTAACCATACATAGTTGTTAGCAAGCTTATTATCCATAGACACCGTTTCCCCGAAAATAAGACAGTGTCTTACATTAATTTTTGCTCCCAAAGATGCACTAGGTCTTGTTTTCAGGGGATGTCTTATTTTTCCATGAAGAAGAATACAGTACACATTTATTGTTAAATGAAAATAAAGGAAATTTATTACTTGTATACAATACGGTAGTACGGTAGTTGTCAACACAAACCAGACAAACTGTGAATCCTACAGTATCAAGAATTTACTCATTTATTCAATGACAATCATGTCATCATCTTCTGGACCATCATCATAACAATCCAATTCCTGAATTTCCTGGTGAATTTCTTGTGACTCCATTTCTTTCAGAATCAGTGGACCAAATCTCTCATGTTTAGCAATAGCACTGTCTTTTAATGAGTACTTCTTGTCAAGGTAGCCTGCTCGCAGTGCATTTGCAATGCAACTGTCAGTGATTTTCTCCCATGAATTCTTCACTCAAGTCACAACTTCTTGCAGTTTAGGTTTCACAAAGTTTCCACGCTGATTTCTCTCCATTCTATTTTCAATGTAGTCATTAATTTATATGCGCAAATTGTCTTTGAATTGCTTGCTTATTGCAGTAACAAGAGTCTGGAGATAGGCCTTCATTCCTGCGGGAATCATTATCTGATCTATTTTTCTTTCGTGAAGAAATGTCTTCATGTCTTTAGCGTGGTGAGTGCTGGCTGCATCCCAGACTAGCAGACCTCTTTGGCTCCCTCGCATAACAAGCGACAGCATTAAATTGACCCACTTCCTTATAACTGCTTGTGTGGCCCAGGCTTTTTCAGTTTCAAGAATAAAAACGCCCAAAACATGTTCAATCTTTTCCTTTTGCCCTTAGAAATGATTAAAGGCGGGATTTTAGTGCCATCCAGACGAATTGCCAAAATACAGGAAACACATGCACTTTCGTAAGCAGTGGAGGGAATGTACACTAAAGAGGCACCCCACTGTTCAATTGTTTGAGATGATTGGCCCATAAACACTGCAGTTTCATCCATAGCAATCATGTTGGAAAGACTGTATTTAGAGAAGTCAGCATCATCAATAAAGGACTTGAATGCAAGTGCTCACTTAATAACTTGAGTATCTTCCAACCTAAACAATGTAGATCTTCTTTAAGACAGTTCACTTTGCTGAAGGAAATTATCCAGCCAGTGTTGTGATGCTTTGAAGTCTTCGGGGGCTATGTTAAACTGTGGTGCCATTGCAAGGGCAAATTCTTGAATCTGAGCCCTATTCACAACCAAAGCCTTTGCTCTCCTGTCAACAACCCATTCACAGATCAGGTCTTCCAGCTCGGAAAATAATGGTTGCTGACCTGATCCACACTTGTGCTTTTTAGCATTTCCCTTGTCCACTTGTTCAATGAGATTACCATACTCTGCTTGCCATTTTCAAACCAATCGGATACTCAACATCTTCTCTTTGCAGAAAGCAGTAAGATTTTGGCCCCAAGAGTTTTCCACGATTCCTTTCTTGTACTCCACGGAGTAGCTTTTTCTTTTTGTGCTCATTTCTATGGGTAAAAAAAGGGAATTGGGGTATCAAGGTGGGGGAGGGGGATCACTTAAAATGACACAGGGGGGATCAGAGGGGGGGGATCAAAATGGCACAGGAGAATCAGAAGGGGGATTACCATTTTAGTAACCCCCTCTGATCTTCCTGTGCCATTTTAAGTGATCCCCATCCCCCCATCCCTGTGCCACTGAACACCTTCACCAGACATTCTCCCTACCCCTTTATCAGACATTTACCCCCTGGGGCCTGCCTGAGGACTGTCACTGGGCTTGCTGGAGCCTGGATCTGGGCTGGAGCAGGGTCTGCCACTGACTGAGAACCTTCAGTCATCATGAGGGCGGCCGCGAGCATCAGGTAGTCTCACCAGAAACAGACCAGCATTCACCACCTTCACCGTGTCCTGTCCGCTCTAATCCTCCTGTTCTACACGCATCTGCGAAATTCTCTCTCCTGCCCCGCGCTCACTGCTCACTCCGACCTCCGCTCTGCCTCCACACAGCAGTGACTTCAGGGCTCAGCATAACATCACTGGTTGCTAGATGCCAGTCGGGGTGGCCCTAGCAACCAGTTTACAGTAAAATAATTTTCATTCTGAGACAGAGCCTGGGGGGGGGGGGGGCTAATTTTCAGGGGGATGCCTTATATTTCACTCAGAAGGAAACCTGTTAAGTAGGTCTTATTTTCGGAGAGTATTTTATTTTTGGGGAAACACGGTAGTAGTTATTCCAGCCAAATGAAAATAACAAAATGTTATATAGCATGTTAAAAATAATTCTACCATTGGCCAGTGTAGCTCAGTGGTTGAGCGTTGATCCATGAACCAGGAGATTGTGGTTTGATGCAGGTCAGGGCACATGCCTGGGTTGCTGGCTCAATCACTAGCCAATCAATGATTCTCTCTCATCATTGATGTTTCTACCTCTCCCTCTCCCTTCTTAAAAAATCAATAAAAAAGATATTTAAAAAATTAATTCCACTTCCTCCTGCCATGTTCAGTTCTATGTGTCTCCCCCTCATATTAGTCATACTACATTTAGCATCTGATCAAATGTGTGACTTCTTTTAGATCATCAGTTTCACAATATGCATGTATTTAATAATGATGGTTCGTAAATGGCAGTAAGGGTTCACAACAAAGGTTTCCCCAGAATGGTAAAAAGAGAAAGATAAAGCCCCTACAGTTAGTTTTTCAGAAGTTAAATTGATTCAATATAAACAATTATCTTTTTATTCTCAGACTAGAGACCTGGTGCATGAATTTGTGCACCAGTGGGGTCCGTTGGCCTGGCTTGTGGGATCTGGCTGAAACTGGTTTACAAGACGGTGTGGGCCAGGCCAAGGGACCTCACTGGTGCACAATCGGAGCCATGTAGGGACACGGGAGGTTGGACAGCCGGGGAGAGACCATGTGAGGGTTCCAGGGCATGCCTGGCCCATCTCGTTCAGTCCTGATAGACCAGACCCCAGCACCAAGCTAACCTACCAGTTGGAGCATCCTCCCCCTGGTGGTCAGTGCACATCATAGCAAGCAGTTGAGCAGCCTTAGGATATCATTAGCATATTACATTTGATAGGTTGAACAGACGACCGGACATTTAGCATATTAGGCTTTTATTATATAGGATTCTTTCCTATCAATTTTTTTAAAAAAGTCTATGTGTATACAATATAAAATGCTAGCAACTTTATGTCAGTCCTTGGGAAAAAAGGCTTCTAGAGTTAATTTGTAAATCCTGCCTTTTAGGAACAGTCCCTTCTGAAAATGGGGTCAATAACTAGAGGCTAAAGATCTCTGGATGGAATTCACCCTGGCATCTGGAGCAAGGTCAGGAGGCTGTGAAGATGCACCATAAAACACTGGAAAATCCTCTCTGTGAACCGGAGATGACATTATAATCTAAGGTAAACAGCCTTCTAAGCAGGTAAAAGAAACTGAGACATGGTATTTAATTGGTTACCATTCTGGGTTAAGCATATCTTCCCTTGAAAGTGAATGAGCTACTGTGGCTTACCAATTTGTCTCTAATGACAAATGGCTGTTGGGTACATTTCCCTAAGAAAATTTGGTGTTAGACCCTGAACCTTACTGCAAGCTTAAGGCTCAGGCTCAATCAGGAGGTGGTCTTAGCCTTACAATAGAACCATTGGGTTCTCTAACCTAGTCCTGTGACTATAAAAAGATGGGCTTGCCATAGCACATTTGGCTCAGTGGATAGAGCATCAGCCCATAGACTCAGGGTGTCGTGGTTCAATTCCAGTCAAGGGCACATATCTTGGTTGCAGGCTTGATCCACAGCCCTGTTTGGGGTGCATGCTGGAGGCAACCAAACACTTCCTCTCTCTGAAATAACTTCTCAACAAATATATTTAAAAGGCACCTAATTTATAATTTTTTTGATCTTCACCCAAGGAGTATTTTTTCCATTGATTTTAGAGAGTGGAAGTGAGGAAGAGAGAGAAACATCAATGTGAGAGAAACATATCCATTTGTTATCTCCCTGTGGGGATCCCACCTGCAACCCCATGCCCTTGACCAGGAATTGAACCTGTGACCTCCTGGTGCACCAACTAACCATTGAACCATGTTGGCCAGGGCTAAAAGGCACCTAATTTAGAATTATTGTTAGCCCAAAAAAAAGATACTGCTAAAAAAAAAAAAAAAAGATACTATTGCTGAAACCGGTTTGGCTCAGTGGATAGAGCGTCAACCTGTGGACTGAAAAATCCCAGGTTCGATTCCGGTCAAGGGCATGTACTTGGATTGTGGGCACATCCCCAGTAGGGGGTATGCAAGAGGCAGCTGATTGATGATTCTCTCTCATCAATGTTTCTAACTATCTGTCCCTTTTCCTTCCTCTCTGTAAGAAATCAATAAAGTATATTAAAAAAAAAAGATACTGTTCATTTCATCATAAGGAAGTAGTGTTTAAATAGAAGCATGTAAAACACAAAATACATTTTAGATGCCTATTTTCATATGACTTACAGGTGTGAAATATTTATGGAATAGTTTACAAGTTAAGATAGTTCAGACCTTATGAAAAATAAAAACAAAATAATATGCATGTTTATACACAATAAAATGGAAATAAATAGGTGTTTCCTTTAATAGACTAAATTTCCACAAAATGACCACCCTCAAATATCACATCAATTTAATACTATTTATCTCACCTAATAAAAGAGAAACATGCAAATTAATCATCACTCCGCTACGCCCACAGCCAATCAGAGTGATTATGCAAATTAACCCAACAAAGATGGAGATTAATTTGCATACACAGGCACAGAGCAGAGTGAAGCCTGCTATGAGGGG